GCTGCGCGAGGGCGCTCCAACGCTGCGCCGCACCCCGCCGCCGCCGCCGAGCGAGGCCGCAGCAGCAGCCGCAGCAGCAGCCGCAGCAGCAGCCGCGGCCGGCGCCGCAAGCCGCGCGCGCGCAGCAGAAGCCGCAGCCGCGCCACGAGGTCGCACACGAGATCGCACAGCCGCCGTCGAGGCCGCCGCTCGTCATCCAGCAGCGACGGCAGCAGCAGCAGCAGCAGCCGCCGCGGCGGTGGCAGCGATGCCAGCCGCAGCCGCAGCCGCAGCCGCCGCCGCCGCCGCCGCAACAGCAGCCGCTCTCGCCCCGCCGACGGCCGGCGAGGCCCGACTCGACGGCGGCGCGTGGTCCGACGACGCAGCGGCTTCAGCAGCGTCTCCGACAGTGCGAACGTCGCGACGGCCGGCGGCGCCGCCGCAGGCGCGCTCGCGCCTCGCTCGGCACGCGTTGACTGGCTTCCTCGAGTAGCTCGCCGCGGGCGTAGTCATGCCGTAGTCTGCTTCACCAGTAGTGAGTTCCTACGGAGTGAGTGAATGACGACTTCATACTCACTCCGTAGTTGAGTTCGGTCGAGCCGGCTGTGTCGTAGACTTCATGATTAGGTCGAGCCGGCGGTGTCGTAGGCGCGCTCGCGCCGCGCCGAGGGCCGCCCCCGCCGCCCCCGCCGGCGGTCGGGGGGTGGAGGCAGGTCCCGGGCCCTGGGGGCGGCAGGGTCGGAGTCGGAGGCGGGACACTCGCCGGCGGCGGCGTCGGGCAGCACGGCGGCGGCGGCGGCTGCGGCGGTTACTGCGGCGGCGGCGCACCGCACGGCGGCGCGTCGTGGCGACAAGTAAACTCATCACCAGCGAATGGCGTGCTTAGCTTTTTTATTATTCACGGAGGCGCGTCGTGGCGGCAGGTTCCTTCGCATGCCGACTCAGAGTACGGGTGCGGCGGCCAGCAGGCGAGGGGCACCTTCCGCTACCCCCACAGTACCCGAACCCACCCTCCCTCCCCCCACAGTACTTGAACCCACCTCCCCTCCCCCCCAGCACCTGAACCCACCCTCCCCTCCCCCCACAGCACCCGAACCCACCCTCCCCTCCCCCCACAGCACCCGAACCCACCCTCCCCTACCCCCACGGCACCCGAACCCACCCTCCCCTACCCCACGGCACCCGAACCCACCCTCCCCTACCCCACGGCACCCGAACCCACCCTCCCCTCCCCCCACGGTACCCGAAGCCACCCTCCCCTCCCCGCAGGCGAGGGGCGCGGCTGGCGGCGGCCAGGCTCGCCATGCCCCTCCGGAGCGGCGCTGGTACTCAGCCGAGGCGCCCACCCAGATCATGTCAGAGCCGCCGGAGCCAGACTGCATGAGCTCAGTGCTCAGTGAGGAATGGCAGTCCCCGCCCAGGCCAAGGGAATCACTACTGGTTAGCCTAGGACAAGTGAACCATTCACGGCTTCTTGTCGAATGGGCAGGCGCCCGCCTAATTAACTAATTAATTAACTAATTAACTAATTAATTAACTTGTCGAGTGGGCAGGCGCCCGCCCAGGTCAAGCCGGAGCCACCCAGCCAGACGCCGAGGCAGCAGCAGCAGCGGCGGGCACCCCAGTGGACGCAGGTGGGGAGACTCCCCTACCCCACGGTACCCGAACCCCACCCACGGTACCCGAACCCACTTTCCCCTACCCCGCCGTACCCGAACCCACTTTTCACTACCCCACCATACCCGAATCCACCCTCCCCTACCCCACGGTACCCGAACCCACCCTCCCATACCCCCGTGGACGCAGGTGGCGGGGCCGTCGCAGCAAGCGCTCCATCAGAGCCCGCGGCTGCAAGAGGCGACGCCGGCCTCCCGGCCGCCTCCTCCTCCTCTGCCTACATGCATGGTGCGCGAGGCGCGCGCCGGCGGCGGCTACGCGATGATTCCGCTGGTCGATCTCGACGCCGAGGTGCCTCCGGCCGGTTCATCACTGCTGATGAGCTACGACTTAATTAATCAGGTCGATCTCGACGCCGAGGTGCCTCCGGCCGACGACCCGCGGCGGCGCGACTCCGGCCCCTACTATGAGCTTCCCGCCGCCGGCTCTACCTGGCGGCAGATGCCGCCGCCGCAGGCTGCCGCCGCTGCGCAGGCGAGCTCTCTCGCCTGATCTCGGCATATCTCGCCTGATCTCGGCATATCTCGTGCCCTCTCGCGCCATCTCGGGTGATCTCGTGCGATCTGGCAGGCGAGCCGCTCGAGCGGTTGGACCAGGGTGGAGGCGGCGGAGGAGGGGGGCGACGCCCATGCGCAGCAGGAGCGCGCTGCGTATGTGTAGTATAGACAGGGAGTAGCGCACAGTAACGTGTGATGATGTAATAGGAGGGGGGCGACGGCCGGGCGCAGCAGCAGGAGCACGCCGCGGTGGTGGGGTGCCGCCAGCCTAGAAGCGGAATATCTCCCCACATCTCCCCATATCTCGCTGCGGCGGTGGGGTGCCCCAGCCTAGAAGCCGCATGAAACACGCACTCCGCCGGGTTCACTGAACCCGCATCCCGCAGACTACCCGAGACTGCAAGAGTTTGCCCGAGCTTGCCCGAGATTACAATCTGAAGGCCCCTCCCCTGCGAGATTGCCCGAGGTTGCAATCTGTAGGTTCCTGACCACGCGCGTGCGGGGCCTCTCGAGCGACCCCGTCCTCGAGGCGACGCTGTCTGTCATGAATTCTCTATCGTAGAGAGAACCTCTCTTAGTTCATCATCAGTTGTCACTATTCCCCCGTCCTCGAGGCGACGCTGTCTGTCTGTCATGAATTCTCTGTCTTAGAGAGAACCTCTCTTAGTTCATCATCAGTTATCAAGTATGGCCCGCTCCTCGAGGCGCTCGAGGCGTTGCGGCGGGACGGGCTGCTCGCGGTGCCGCATCCATCTGAGCCGTCCCCTCCCATGAAGAACGCATCAGCTAGTCCATGATACTGCTCTAGGCGCCTCATCCAGCGGTGTGGGCCCTCGTCGCCGCCGCCGGAGACAGCGGCGCGGCTTTGGTGTGCCTCAGGCGCCGGCTGCAGTTGACAGTTAACGATCAACACGCCCCGTCGCAGGCGCGGACTTGGTCGACCTCAAGCACAGGCTGCGCAGCGCGCTTCCCCTCTCGGAAGATGTCGTTCACACAAAGCCCGTCCACTAGATGCGCGCCTAGACTCTCCTAGATTCCTCCTCCCTTCGAGAGTTGTTGATAGCGTGAGCTACATCAGTAGGGCCCACTGCCTCGCCGCCTTCCCATTAGAAACCTAACTAGCAGACTGACGAACTAGTGAATAAAATAGGCTCGTCCACTGCCAATTAAGTTAATTTAATTAATTAATTAATTAATTAGGCTCGTCCACTACCTCGCCTCCTTCCCGCGCCACTTCGACTGCCGCATCGCCGGCCAGTCCGGCAAGGTCACCGCCAGGGACCCTGCCGTGTCGCCGCCGCCAGACCCGCACGCAGAGCACCCGCAAGAGGCGGCGTCGCCGGAACGGCGGGAGCCGCCGCCCCCGCAGCCGCAGCCCCCGCAGCCGCAGCCGCCGCAGCCGCCGCAGCCGCAGCCGCAGCCGCCGTCCTCGCGCCCACCGCCCGCCGCCCCGCCGCCGCCCGCCCCGCCCGCGGCCGATCCTCCTCCGCCGGCAGGGGCGGCGGCGCTGCCGCCGCTCCCGCGCGGGGACCGTGGTGTCCGGCGCGGGGAGCGAGGTGCAGTCCGGCGTGGCGACCGTGCAGCCGCTGCAGCCACCCCCGCCTTGCGCGCCGCGGCGAGGGCGACGCTCGCGGCGGCGTCGGCGGCGTCGATCAGAGTGGAGTGCTCAGGAGGCACGTCGCTGGTGGACGTCGTTGGGTTTGGGGCGGAGCGGCGAGTGCGCGAGAAGAAGCAGAAGCGGCACCCAGAGGGGGCGGGTCCTGCCGGCGGTCTCACCCAGAGCGGCCTTGCCCCGGCCGGCCCGGCGCGGCCCGGCGTCGCGGGGATCCAAAGCGCGTGGCGGCAGCTGCCCCCGCCGCCGGCAGCTGCACCGCCCTTACCGCCCCAGCCCTTACCGCCCCAGCCCTTTGCAACGCAGCCGCCTCCGCCGCGGCCGTTTATGCAGCCGCCGCAGCAGCACATGCAGCCGCTGCCGCAGCAGCAGCCGATGCCGCCGCTGCCGCAGCCGCCGTTGCCGCAGCAGCAACGGCAGCAGCAGCAGCAGCGGCAGCAGCAGCAGCAGCAGCAGCAGCAGTGGGCACAGCAGCAGCAGCAGCAGCAGCAGCGGCCGCAAATGCCACGGGTGCCGCCGTTTTCGCAGCAGATGCAGCACCCGCAGCAGCAGCAGCAACAGATGATGCAGGCGCAGATGCAGCAACAGATGCCGCCGCCGATGCAGCAGACGCGGTCACCGCATCGCCCACCGCCGCCGCACCCGCACCAGATGCCGTTCCGCGGCGGGGCGCCAACTCCCGCGTCATCTAGTGCAATCTCGCGTGATCTCGTGCCCATCAGCCGCTCGGTGCGCGGCGGGGCGCTTGCGGCCGGCCCGCACGGGTGGGGCAAGCACCGGGCCCTGGTCGAACCACCAGCTAGCCTCCTCCCACCGGCTGATTCCTCATCACATAGGGTGGGCGCACCCGGGGCGGCATTCCCCAGCCACCCGCTCCAGGCAAGGCCGCCGCCACCGCAGCGGCCGCCGCCGCCGCAGCGGCCGCCGCCGCCGCAGCAGCCGCTCGGGCAGACGCCTCTTTTGCGCGGCGGCGGTGGCCCCGCGATCGGCTTGCACGGCTTGTGGGTGTGAACGGCGTCTCTTCACAGCTGCAGCTGTGAACAGGCGGCGGCCCCTCGATCGGTTTGCACGGCCGGCCGGGAGCAGCGCCGCCGCCCGCCGCCTTTCACGGCGCCTTTCACGGCAGCCCGCCCGTCGGCCCCACAGTGCCTCTGCCGCCGCGTCCGCTGAGTGGGCAGCACGGGCCGGGGTGGCACGGCGGTGGACAGCCACCACCCGGCGCGGGGCACGGCGCGATGCTTGGAGGCACGAACTCGACGTGGCTTTCGCCGGGCAAGCACCCGGTCTCTGCGCTGTTTGAGTTTGCGCAGGCCGTTGGGTTGCGGCCTCCGCCCCTCTTCGAGGCGGCGAGGAGCGCCCACACCTTTCTTCTCGGAACCTTCTCGGAACCCTCTCGGAACTTTCCCTGCAGGCGGCGAGGAGCGCCCCCCCTCTCCCTGGGGGGCGGGCTGGCATGTCCGTCACCGTGCGCGCTGCAGGGCGCGAGGCGACGGCGGCGGCGCCCGACGCGAAGTTGGCGCGGGCCGGGGCGGCGCACGCCCTGCTGCGCATGCTGTGTCCCCGGTACAACGCCGCCTGCCAGCTCCGGCCGCCTCCGCACGCTGCGTGCGGCGCGAGCTGTGAACAGCGTCTCATCACACTTCTAGCTGTGAATAGGCCGCTTCCGCCTGCTGCGTGCGGCGCGAGCTCTCTATGCGCGGACGCGCCGCGCTAAACGTTCCTTTCGCCTCCACGCGGTGCTTTCTTTCTTCTTCTGTAGGCGGCGCAGTTGCGCACTCCACGCCCGCACACGCTCCCGCACCCGCACCCGCACCCGCACCCGCTGGCTACTTTGGCGCCGCGCCGGAGCTGCAGGCGCCGGCGCGGCCGATCATCTGCGGCGGACCGGGCGCGATCGTCGCCGCCACCGCCGTCGCCGCCGCAGCGAGCGTGCTTTCTCCTCGGGCGACACCGGCCCCGCCGGAGGAGCTGGAGGACGGAGAGCTTCCGGAGTGACGTGGGCGGCGCGGAGGCAGGGGTGGTGTTTGCGGCACAGCGTGGACCGTGGGTCCGTGGGCGGTGCGCCGCGGGGCCTTCGCGCCTCACGCCGGGATGAGGGGGCGCGGCTGTTGTAAAATTCTTTTTCGCACACTTTTCTCTCAGGCGTGATTTCGGGTGTGTCACTGCTGTCGCGTCCGGTCTGAACTCTGGCAAAACGAGAAAGAACGCGGCGCCGGGGGCGGCGGGAGCGGCCAGTGCTATTACGCATTTTTTTTGCGAGCCCCAGCGATTCCAACTCTGGCTCAAGCTCTAGAGGACCCCACTACGGGTCCGACCTAAGAACGCAATGTCCTAATGTAGCTCACGCAAGGGTGGCCCGGCATTGGAAGCAAGCCCGTCTGGCTGGCTTGGCGCGTCCATGAGCACTCCGCGAGCCGCGCGCTCTCGATGTCAAACCCTCGTGGCACCTCGGGCAAGAGACGCAGCGCCCAGATGCGCTGCACCGTCGGCGAGGCCTCGAGCCGCGCCACGATCCGTCTATTAAGCCTCTCGTCAAAGCACAGGTTGGAGAGCCAGACCGCGGTTGCCGTCTCGAGCATTCTCGCGGCCTCGTCCCCGGCGGCGTCTCCACACAGAAAGGTCGTGCGGCGTGCTACGCGGGGTTCGCAGGCGGCCCTTTGGGCGAGCGCCAGCCCATGTCTAGTGGGACTCAGCTCGACGCCCGCCGCGCTATCGACGCCAAGCTCACGCACGGCCTGCATCACCAGCTTCCCAGTGCCGCTGCCGAGATCGACAAATTTGTCACTCTCACCCAAGTCGCCGAAGAGCTGCCGAAACCCAATTGACGTCAGCTCGCCGTAGGTTGTAGCCTGCGGTCCGCCCGCCGCCTCTATGCTCACCGCTTCGTCAGGCCCGATCGCGGCCATCGTCGGCGGAGTCGACAGCCGCGGAGCTAAGCTCACTAAGAGGTACATCACCCAGGTGTCGAGCCAAGAGCTCGTCTGCGCAAAAAAAGAAAAAAAACCCATTGCGCACTGGTACGGGACCGTACCCGGTGTCGTGCAAAAAAAGAACATATACAGAGAGTGAAATTCTTGAGAGAGTGAAAAACGAAGTCCACGCGCAACTGATTGATTGATGGGAAGGCGAAACACAGTCCGACCAACGACTGGGACACCAACGCGGTATGGCTGGACGCGACGGGCGATGACGGTCACTTTGACGTGTCACGAGTTCGCGCGTCCCGAGGACCCGAGCGCGCTGCCGTGGAACAACATATGTGGCTGCCGAGCCACGACGCACGCTGCGGCCATGAGACGAGCTGCTGCGTTGCGACGGAATCAAATCTCACCGTAGCAGGCGACACCTTTTTGCCGCCTCACCAACTCGATACTCGTGACCCTGGCCGCCTCGGCTCCGCTCTCTTTGCACATCCGCAGCCTTGCGAAGCTAGCGCGCGGTGCAATTGCTTCTTGACCCACCCCGCTCCTGCCAATGCAGAGTTTCCGCGTCGAACGTCGGTGAAGCTATCCCGAGGCCCACAGATCCGCATCATGAGGGCGGAGGCTCCTATGCACAAGACCTTTGGGCTCGACTACATCTTCGAGCCGCTCACCGCGAGTCTGCTGCGAGGTTTCCGCGCTGTGGCGACAGGGTGCCACGCTTAACGCGCACGGATGCTTAATGCACACGCACGCACGCACGCACGCGCGCGTGCGATGGTCCGACTGACTCTTCTTCATGAGAGCTCTTCGCGCCTCTTAGCGCCTTGGCGCTTTGACTGTTGTTCAAATTAAGACGGTTTTTGAATTCACATTGGTTGAATAATTGAATAAGACGTTTGTACATGTAGGTAGGTGCGAAAGCCGCGTGTGTCGTGAGGCCCCTTACTTACTTGCTTCCAGCGCCCCTGTGGGTCTCCTCACAAATCCGGCGCCCGGCCTTACCAGGACGTCGGAGCCCCTTGCTTTTGGAATCCTAATTATTGATTGATTGAATGATTGTTCAAATTAGACGGACTCGCTGAAGGGTTTGTGGAGCGACCAGACATTCCTTTGTTACGTAATTTCTCGGGATTGCTGACGCCGTTTGGAACCAGACTAGATTTGAGAGCAGCACAATTGAAAGATCCAGCTCCATTACTAATTAAGCCAGAGGTGGTGAGCTGGCCTTATGTGTGTATACCATGTATGTATGTAGAAAGATGAACAACAGTCAGGCTCGGACTGGACACCAACGCGGTATGGGTGGACGCGGGACAGATGATGACGACACGCACGAACGACACACAGACACAAACAAGCTCACAAGACACACAGCCAGCTGGCTGCCACACACCCTGAGTTGGCGTACACATCACTCAAGGCCGCGCACCCCCCCTGTCGTCTCCCCCAGCCAAGTCGCCGAAGGAACAAACAAGGAACAGACGATGTATACCTTCATGACACGTATCCAGCCCCCACGCGCCAAGATATCGAACCAGACGACGCCGACCACCGGCCAAACCTCCGAGGCCAAATGCCCGGGGGGCACCACTCGCCAGCGGACCCGACGCGGCTGCCGGACCAGCTGTGCGCAGAGTACGCGCCGTACACCGGCGGCGGCGGCGGCGGCGGCGGCTCGGGCCTCGTGCCAGCGTACTGGGTGGAGCGGTACGAGCGCGAGGCGGGCAAGAACTGGGAGCTCTTCTACCGGCGCAACCGCGATCGCTTCTTCAAGGACCGGCACTACCTGCAGGCCGAGTGGGCGGACGAGCTCGCGCCGGACGGCGGGTCCGGTGACGCGGCGGCGGCGGCCGCAGGGGTGGCGGCAGAGGCGGCGGCAGATGCGGCAGAGGCTGCGGCAGAGGCGGCAGAGGCGGAGGAGGTGACTGCGTGCCGCGCGCAGCTGTCGCAGGCGAGCCTCGGCGGCGGCAGCGGCGTGCGCGTCCTCCTGGAGGCGGGCTGCGGCGTCGGCAACACGCTCTTCCCGCTGCTCCGCGCGATGCCGGCGCTTCTGGCCGCGCTGGCCGCACTCGCCTCAAGTTGAGTGGGACGCAGTCACGCCCACTCCAATGCACCCAGGTGCTGACCGTATACGCGCTCGACCTATCCGCCACCGCTGTCGGCATCGTACGCTCCCACCCGCTGGCAGAGGCCGGTCGGGTCGTCGCTGCGGTCGGAGACCTGACCGAGGGCAGCTTGCCGCCCGAGCTGTCTGGCTGCGCTGCGGATGTGGCGACGCTCATGTTTGTGCTCTCCGCCATCGCGCCCTCAAAGTTCGGTGCGGCCCTGCGCGCGGTGCGGTCTGGGCTGCGGCCGGGAGGGGCCGTGCTCCTGCGGGACTACGGGGCTGGCGACGGCGCGTGCGCGCGGATGGAGGCGGGCCGCGAGGCCAAGCGGCTCGACGCCTCAGCGCCGTGGCTGGTGCGGCAGGACGGCACCCGCGCGTACTTCTTCTCGGTGGAAGCGCTGCGTGAGCTGTTTGAGCGAGAAGGCTTTGAGACGCTAGAGTGCGCCTACGCGCACCGGACCACGGCCAACCGCGCCACCGGCGCGACTCTCTCGCGCACCTTTGTGACGGCGAGGTTTCGGCGGCCCGCCAGCGACGCATTGGACGCGGAATTCAGCGCGCCGTGATCGAAGGTAAGGTGTAAGGTAAGGTATTGGTGCCCGGAGCCCTTGCGCCTTGGAGCACTTGGAGTGCAGTCATTAGCCTCACATCCAGGGCCGGGGCCCGGCCCTTGGAGCACTTGGAGCACTTGGAGTGCAGTCATTAACACCTCACATCCAGGGCCGGGGAGCTGAGAAGCGCACCAGCGGGCCGGATGATCGGTATCGGGTTGCGGGCAAGAGCGCCCTAGAGCCGTAGCCCCGGGGGTGCGCGTTCGCAGGGAAAGGGCCGTAAATAAAGTACACACGCCACACGGGTCTCCGAGGGTTAGTACCGCGCTACATCAAGGTGTAACCGCCGATCCATGGCGCGCGTAGCTATGACAGGGACCACGGCCGCGGAACCGGCGGCGGACGGGGCTGGCGCGCAAGCGCCGGCCACCGTCGTGCCGCCGGGGATGCGCAGCGGACGCTGGAATAGCTCCGATCGCGCGCAACTGGAGGACGCGGTGGGTGTCGCAACACGCAAAAGGTTTGTTCGGTGCGTCTTGTGTCAGGGTGATAAGGCCTGGCTACGCGACCATCGAGGTCGACCTGAAGCACGAAAGGCCGCGGGCGACCGCGAGTCGCGAGCTGGACACACGCGCGGAGCGCGCTAGCTGGACACACGCGCGGAGCGCGCTGGCACCTATGTGCGCGGAGCGCACCGCGGTACCGGTAGAGTCTAGACACATGAAGACAGACAGTTTATTAGGAAACTAACTTCGCGCGGGGTCCCTCAGCAGCGTGCACCTCGATCCTGTGTGACCGTGTTTGTTAAGACCCCCCCCAATGAACACACCAGTGAGGGAGGGCGAGACGATCGAGGGGTCCCATACCATGCGGAATCGACCCGTTCCAGTGCTCAACTTGGCCGTGTCCTACAACTGTAGGTAGTTTGCACACCGAATTAGTGCACTCCATGGCAGAGATACCTCATAGGTCGTCGAGCGTGCCTCAGCCAGAGGCGCCGCACGACGCGGTGTTGCATGGCGACGAAGCGGCGGTGCGTTCGTGGCTCAAGAGAGGCGGGCGAGCAAACACCACGCGCGAGAATGGCGAAGTAACCGGCGTTACCCTGCTGATGGACGCCGCCTGCCAGGGCCACGAGCGGATGGCCGCCTTGCTGCTGCAGCACGGCGCAGAGATCAACAAGCGGAACAGCGTCGGCGTCACCGCGCTGATGCTCGCCACCCACTACGGCCACGAGCGGGTGGTCGACCTGCTGATGTGGCGTGGCGCGGAGATCAACGTGCAAAGTAGCGACGGCGACACCGCGCTGATGGGCGCCGCCGTCAACGGTCACGAGCGGGTGGTCGACTTTCTGCTTCAGCGGGGCGCGGAGATCGACCAGCAAAACAGCAGCGGCTGGACCGCACTGATGCACGCCGCCGTCCAAGGCCACGAGCGGGTGGTCGAGCTGCTGCTTCGGCATGGCGTGGAGATCAACGTGCAGAACAGCACCGGCTTCACCGCGCTGATGGGCGCCGCCAAAATAGGCCACGAGCGAGTGGCTGGTTTGCTGATTCGGCACGGCGCGGAGATCGACAAGCAGGACAGCTTCGGCAGCACCACGCTGGTGTACGCCGCCCGCTACGGCCACGAGCGGGTGATTGACCTACTGCTTCAGCGCGGCGCGGATGCCAACCTGCAGAATAACAGCGCGAGCGGCGTCACGGCGCTGATGGTCGCCGCCGATGAGGGCCATGCGCTGGTGGTTGAGTTGCTGATTCGGCACGGCGCGGAGGTCAACGTGCCGCACAGTGACCGCGGCACCGCGCTGATGGGCGCCGCCTACAATGGCCACCTTCCCGTCGTGCTCTGCCTTCTGCAGGCTGGCGCAGAGACGAAGGCACGCTCTGCGAACAGCAGTTCCGCGCTGGATCTCGCCAAGAAGGGGGCGGCCATGCCTGCGACTGCTGACGCCGCCGGCGCTCCTCCAAAGGACCACGCCGGGTGCGTGCGCGCTCTCACAGAGCATGCAGCGGCTGTGAGAGAGGCCGAGGCAGCAGAGAAAGCGGCGGAGAAGGCGCTCGAAGCCAAGAGGCGGCGCGAGCAGCGCGAGCATGAGGAGGCCGTGGCGGCGCGAGAGCGCGAGCATACGGCACGACAGCGCGAAGCAGAGCGGGCGGCGGACGAGGAGCGCCGGGCGGCAGATGCAGCGGCGCTGGAGGAGCAGAAGCGAGCCATTGCTGCGGAGGTGGAGGCAAAGCTGGCCGCCGAGCGCGCGGCAGTAGAGGATACGCTGCGGGCGAGGACGGCAGAGAGGCGAGCAGCAGAGGAGGCGCAGCTTGCAGAGCAGCGGGCGGCGGCGGCGGAGCGCAAGGCTATTCAGGCAGAGGCGGAGCGGCGCGAGAAGGAGGCTGCTGACAAGCGGGCGGAGGAGGAGAAGGCGAAGCGGCTGGCGAAGGCAGCCGAGAAGAAAGCGGTTAGGAAGGAGGGCAAGGCGAAGAACAAGGAGGCCAAGAGGGCGCCGCCTGCCTTCAAGCTCGAGGAGGAGCGGAGAGCGAAGGCTGCGGCAGAGCTTCGCGCACAGGAGGAGAAGGCGGTACAGCTGGCTGCTGAGCAGGAGGCGGCAAGGCTAGCAGAGCGCGAGGCGGCAGAGCGAGCGGGTGCGGCGGAGCGGGCAGCGCTGCGCGAGGCTGCGGAGCTAGCAGAGGCGCTGCGTCGGTCAGCGGTGGAGGCGGAGGAGGCGCTGACGCATCGGGTGTCGCGGTGCGAGGAGGCGGTGAGCAGCGAGTCGACCGGCGGCGGGGGGGACTTGCCGCGGCGTGTCGATCTGCTGGAGGCGAGCCTCGGCGCGGCGACCGAGGGTAGCCTCGAGGAGCGGGTCAGCGCTATCGAGCGCTTGATCGAGCCAGAGGCGGCAGAGGCGGCGGAGCAGCCTCTGCCAGTCACCGAGGCGCTTGCTGCCGTCTCACTAGCGGACGCCGGCCTCAACACGGGGCGGCCGGCTGCCCCAGAGTCCACCATGGGAGGCGAGACGTCGTGCATCATATGCTTCGAGCGGCCGAAATCTCACCTCGCGGTGCCGTGCAGCCACTTGTGCGTCTGCGGTCCATGCTCCGAGCTCATGCGGGAGTGTCCTTATTGCCGCGAGCCAGTGATGATGTGGCTCGCCCCTCGTCCTGTGTGAACTGTGTGATCACGGTGTTGGGAGGAGTTACTGTCTTACTTATCAGCTATTGAACCCCTCCACCGTTCCGAAGGTGAAAAGAATTGTGGAAGTAGTTGCTGCCGAGGGTCGGCGCTGTGTGCCAACGAGTCGAATGTGTCCAAGTCAGTTGTCCGCGCGGCGAAAAAGAATTTTTCTCTTGGTCTCTCGGCGCGAAAAAGAATTTAAACAAAAAACTCTCTCTCACAGCAGACAGGCTCGACACAGGTGAAACACCAATCCTCGCTACCAACGCGGCCAAAGGATATCCACCTCGAGAATATGTGAAAAAGAATCATCTCTTTCCCGCCTGGGCGGGGCGGTGGGCGGGCGCGCGGTGCGGCGTGGCGTGTGCGTGTGTGCGACTGCAACGAAGGACCGCTCGCAGAGGACCATTGGGTTTGTACTATTAACAACGAGGTAGGTAGGTAGGTAGAAAGGTGAAGAACAGCCAGGCTCGGACTGGACACCGACGCGGTATGGGTGGACGCAAGACAGATGATGACGACACGCACGAGCGACACACAGACACAAAAGCTCACAAGACACACAGCCAGCGGGCTGCCACACACCCTGAGTCGGCGTACACATAACTCAAGGCCATATCCTCCCTGTCGCCCCCCCCAGCACTCCACGGTGCCAAGAGTCCAAACCGCACTAATCCCGACCCCCGGTTTTTTCGCTCAGGTTTTCAAACTTGTTCTATCATAGTTAGCTGCTAAGTGAGAGCAGTGGCACATCGCGTTCTCACCACGGTCGCCGCTCATGGCGCGGCGCGCCTGCGCAACGCGGCCCCGAGAGGGGCCGCCTGGCCACCGGTGCCACTGCGCCGCACGGATTTCACCCCACTTTCGCGACTGTGGCCGTCCAACAGTCTGCCGGCGCGGCGGGCGCATTCGAATGCGCCCGCTGCGCCGGCAGACTGTCAGTGCTATCCCGGGCGGCGCGCCAGCGAGCCCGGACGCTGGCCAGCCGCGAGGACAGCGCCATCGTCATCGGCGTCTCCTGCAGCAACTTCAACAGCACAAGGTAGCCGGGTCGGAGGCCTCCCGCCGAGCTGCCGAGCCACCCCGCACCCGCGCCACCCTGCCTCAGGGAGTCAGTTGAGAGGGTGCGCAAAACCTTACCAAAACTGGCACGGGTCACGCGCCGCTCGGGAGCCGCGGCGCAGCCTCCAGAGACTGCAACGACAGCGAGCATACGCGCACGCGACTAAGCAGCTAACTCGAGGGGTTTCCTCAATCAACCGAACGCGCTAGGCTGGCGAAAAAACCGGGGCGCGGGATTAGTGCGCAAGGGCACAACAACACAACAGACAACAGGAAGTGACATGCGAGGCTAGAGCAGGCTTGCTCACAACGAGGTAGGTAGGTAGGTAGTAAGGTGAAGAACAGCCAGGCTCGGACTGGACACCAACGCGGTATGGGTGGACGCTAGACAGATGATGACGACACGCACGAGCGACACACAGACACAAACAAGCTCACAAGACACACAGCCAGCTGGCTGCCACACACCCTGAGTCGGCGTACACATAACTCAGGGCCACATCCTCCCTGTCGCCCCCCCCAGCACTCCACGGTGCCAAGGGCACAAACAAGGGCACAACTCAAACAACAGACGACAGGAAGTGATATGTGAGGCTAGAGCAGTTTGCTCCACCTCTAGCAATCTCACCGGCCGGCAAGGCACGGACGAGACCATGTGTGGGGTCTAGTGAGGTGTCTATGGACGCCCTCCTCAGAGGCTAGCTGCCTACAGCTAGCCCTTCTCGCACTCACAGGCGATGACAGTCCAATGTATGAGCGTATGCAAGTTGAGGCGCGTGGGCTAAATCTAGGCCGCACGTCGTGGCACTATGACGAAGTAGACGTGCGGCCGCAGCGCGCCCGCCGCAGGCTCGGCGGTGCGCGCGTGTTAGCGACAAAGTTGCGGGTGGAGCCATGCCCGACTTTTCGAAGGTGAGGCCTCTGCGACGAGTGCCAGCCGCGCTGCGGAGCCACGCCCTTCGAGCCGCGTCCCGTCAGCACTGTCCCCGAGTGGTCCCGCCTCAGCGGCACACACTCTCGACCAGGACAGTCCCGCCAACGGAAACGTGTCGCGCGCCGGCGACGATTGCGGCGTGGTCGTTGTGAAGCGGAGATGGCACGACCACCGCCCTGCATTGCAGACCGGGCAAGGAGGGGGCTGCTCCCGTTCCGCGAGGAACAGGAGGTCTCCCCCCCTCCCCCTGCCTGAGCAGCGACGTGTGGAAGGCAGCCCCTTGAGTCGAGGGCGGCGCTACCATTGCGCCGACTCAAAGACCAGCTAGCTGGTCCGTTCAGTACAGATGGTCTCGCCGCCCCGCTCCGCGTCGCCCGCCGCCGCGCCGCGCCGCCGCCTCGCGCAGCCGCCGCGCCGCGCCCCGCCCGATGATTAATAATTAAGATTACCCGGAATACGGTACGCAATTAAGGAATTAATGAAGTGAATTAATCAATTAAGTGAGCGCCCTCGCGTCACCTATGACTCGACCAGTGCGAAGGTGAAGAGATGTCACCGAGCGTGCGTGCAGCTGGCCCGGAGGGGAGAGAGAGAGAGAGAGAGAGAGAGAGAGAGAGAGACAGAGAGCAGAGAGAGAGAGAGAGAGAGCAGAGAGAGAGAGAGAGCAGAGAGAGAGAGAGCAGAGAGAGAGATATTGAAAATGGCGACAACAGTGCCGAGCAGCAGCAGCAGCACGCCCACGGCCCGAGCCAGAGCGAGGAGACGGAACGGCCGAGCCGACAACGGAGGCAGCGAGCAAAAAGGCAGCGCGGCGCGGCTCGCGCGCCGCGTGCGCCAAGCAGCCGAGGCTGCCGAGGAGGCCGAGGAGGCCGAGGAGGCCGAGGAGGCCGAGGAGGCCCCCCCCTCCCCCCCGGCGACTCGAACCGGGAGCCAGTCGACGCACGAACGGAACGCTCGCACATCACCGGATATGTCAACTCGCAGCAGCGAGGCAGCAGCTCATATACAGTGGACTTTACTCAAAGCAGCGCAGAAGCGCTCGCAGAGCGGTGCACAGCGCCGCGCACGCCACGCCGCGGGCGGTCGGACGAGCGCAGCGTACGTCGGCCGCGAGCCGCGTCGCCAGCCGTCTCGCGAGAGAGCGGCGCCACCACGTGCGCGCAGCAGCCGCCGCGGCAGAGACGAGCCGCGGCGACGTCCGCTAACTGCCATTGGCGGTTAGGACTAGTTATTCCACACAACGAAGGCGCTCTCAAAAGAATTATACACGTATTCGCTCACGCCTCGATCAGGCGAAGGCCCTTGCGTCGCCCTCGCCAGAAAGGAAGTCGTCCTCAGGCAGATGATCGAATCCGCCACCCTCCGACGTCGATAGCGGTGCATGGTTGCGATGCTGAACAAAACCATCGACACTGCGCGATTGCGCACGTTCGTGCTGCTCTGTGCCGTGATCGCCATCGACAAAGCGGACCAAATTCTGTTGCCGGCCGTGTACCTCGAGGTGTGCAACGAGTATGGCGCCGGACCGGCAGCGCTGGGTATGGCGACCTTTTGGCGTGGCATCGTGCAATCGATAGTTGCGCTCGCCGTTGGCCCGCTGGGCGGTCGCTACGACCGCGTGAAGCTCATCGCCATGGGCTGCGTGTTCTGGTCCGTCGCCTCTCTCTTCGTCGGCTCGGCCACGTCCATGCGCACGCTCGTGATTTCGCGGGCCTTGAACGGAGTCGGCATCGGCCTGGTCATCCCGCTGGTCTATGCCCTCGTCGCCGACCTCTGCCCCGCAAACCTGTCCGGACGCGCCTTTGGCGTCCTGAACTTTGCCAACAACGGCGGCGCCGCGCTCGGCGGCTTCCTCGCCACGCAGCTCGCCGACACCGACGGCGCCGTCGCCGGCTGGCGCCTCGTCTTCTACAGCGTGGCGGTCGTCTCTTGCGCGACGGCCGCCGTGCTGCTCTGCTTCGGCCGCGACGTGCGGCCCGCGCTGACGTGCGCGACCAGCCCTAGTGCGCGACCGCCATATCCCGCCGCGGATACCGCGAAACAAACCGTCCACACCAGGGATGCGACCGGCGGCGGCCGCCTCGCGCGGCCGCCGCCCCTCTCGGCCAGGGCGGCGCTCGCCGAGGCGTGGCACGTCGCGACGGTGCCCACCTTCCTCATCATCATACTGCAGGGCGCCGTGGGGTCGGCGCCGTGGTACTCGATGTCCTTTTTGACGCTGTACTTTGAGCTCAGGGGCCTGTCGCACGCGGCCGCGGGCGCGACGCGCTCGCTGCTCGACACGGGCGCCATGTTCGGCAACCTGCTCGGCGGCGCCCTCAACGACCTCGCCGCGCGCCTCGCGCCGACGCATGGCCGCGTGCTCGTCGGGCAGCTCTCCGTCTTCTCGGGGCTGCCCATCTTCCTGCTGCTCTTCTACGGCAGCGCGCCGCGCGCCGCCGCGCCGCTCATGCTGCTCGCGGGCCTGCTAGTCTCCTGGTGCGGCGGCGTGAACAACTCGATGATGGCCGAGGTCGTCGACCCCGCCCTGCGCACCACCATCTACGGCCTCGACCGCGCGCTCGAGGGGGTCGTCGCGCCCGTCGGCGGCCTCGCCGCGGGCTGGATCGCCGAGGAGTTCTTTGGCTTCGCGCAGAGCGACGGCGGCGCGTGCGGCGGCGGCAGCGGCGGGGGCGGCGGCGGTGGCAATGCCAGCAGCAGCAGCAGCAGCAACAGCAGCCTCCACGACGGCGGCGCCGAGGACGCCGGCAACGCGAAGGCCTTGGGCGACGCGCTCGCCGTGACGATGCTCGTGCCGTGGGGGTTCTGCTTCCTCGCGTACAGCTTGCTCCACTGCACCTACGGGCGCGACAAGCGGAAGACGGAAGCGGCGCTCGCGGCGGCGCAGGCAGCGGCCGACGGCGGCGGCGGCGGCATGCTGAGCGACTCGAAAGCGAGCGACCGCAGCGCGCCTGCCGGCAGCGCTGCAGGAGGTGCTCCGGCCGGCGGCATCGAGCTGCGGGGACTGCGCGCGCACGACGCCGCGCGTCGGTCGTGGAGCGAGGTCGATGTACCTGCTAGGGAGCGACGTACAGTAGGTGTCGTCGTGTGAGGGTGAGAGTGGTGAGCCACGTGCCGTCCTCCCATCCCTCCCTTTGTTTTCTTTCTTTCTGCATGGGGAAGGCACAACACCGGGAAAACAACTACAGTCCGAGGCACGGAACTGACGCGCACTGATCTTCGCCCACTGAGGCTGTCCGGCAGCGCGACCGTGACGAGGAAGTTCCGTTGGGAAGAGCAGCGTCCACAGCGAGTCGTGAGATCTAAAAATCATGCACTCACCGCCTCCGGTCACACACGCGAGTGGCGAGCCGACCGAGCCATGTCTCGCCCTTCGGCGACTCATGCGTGGGCGTCGCGTTGTACGCCCGCGCTTTGAGGGCAGGCTGCGCGTGGTGCGTTCGGTGCCCGTACCCCTCCTCGATGCCAAGGCGCCCAAACAGAAGGCTGTGCAGCCAGTCAAAGGCGTGGGGGCGGAAGTTCTTCCCCTCCGCCACCAGCGTACCGTCGGGCTCCACGTGCTGCAGGTGGAAGCTGACTAAGTAGAAGAGCATCCGCGTGAAGCGGCTGATGACGGCGAGCTCCAAGGCGGGCCGCGTGAGACCCACGGCGGAGAGGAAGACGAGGATCGCTGCGCGCACGCCGAAAGCGCACATGATCGGCGAGAGCGACGCTGCTAGCTGCAGCGATCCACAGAACTCAATCTCGGGTTGGAAGAAGCACTGCACACATGCCCGCGCTGACTTGTACGGGGCCGCAGTGTATCCGAGGGAAAGGTCCTTGCCCTCGACCATCGAGTAAGCGTGGTGCGTGGCGTGAATCCTCCGTTGATACACCACGTCTGCGGTGAAAAGAGACTCGAACGAAAAGGCGAGCAGGGTGGAACAGAGCAGGCCGACGGCCGACCGGTGATGGCATAAGGCGTTGGTCAGCGAGCCCGGCTCGTGCGTTAGCGAGTGAATCGCATTCTGTATGCGCGGCACGAGGCAAACCATCAGCAGCCTCCCAGCAGGCGGGCAGCAAAGCAACGGATACTGCGATGCAATGTAGAGGAGGAGCCACGCGTCGTGGGTGTCGCTCACAAATGGCGACAGGCGGAAGGGCTCCGGCATGGCCACGTGCAACTCCGCTGGTTCTAGTTCGCAGTCAACAGTTCGCAACCAACACTTGCTTGAGCCAAGCCGGCGAGATTCACCAGGAGCTTGCCTGAGAGTAGCAGCGTGCATTGATGGTACATGCAGCTATTCAATAAGAGGCTACTTGTAAGTCCCCTGGGGGGGGGGGGGGGGGGTTGGCAGTGCCCGCCGTGTGTACTTGTTACTACGCTCGTGAGGCTGTGAAAGCACACGCCCACCCTACGATGCTCGCGCACACCGGCTCGGGCTACATCTCGTCGAAGCAACTCGACGTGCCCGTGCCGTACCTCGTCTCGCTGCCGAGCGCCTCGATCGCGCCATCGACCATCGCCGCCTCCGCGCAGCCGCGTACCAATCTCGTCTTTCTCATGGCCTCGCCCTCGCGCAACAAGGTCCGCTATGAGGTCGCAGGCCAGCTACGCGAGGCGCGCGATGGCGCAGGTGGCGGGTCCTCCTGGCTGCGCTCGGCCCTGTCGTCGCCGCCGCCCGCCTCCTCCTCGTCGCTGCGTGGCCATGGCATCGAGCTCTACGAGACCGATATGCGCAAGGAAAAGACGATGCCACTCTCTGCCGACGAGACGATGCGCCGCATGCGAGACACGACCTTCTGGTGAGACCCACGCCCCACGCGACGCCACATACGCGCTGCGTGCTTCTCGTTGAGTGCTCTGAGCGTCTCACTCCCTCTCTGCCTCTCTCTTGTCCAGCGTCGCGCCGACGGGCGACTCAGACGGCTTTACGCAGCGCTTCTACTACATCCTCGCGGCGGGATGCATCCCGGTGCGCGTCGACACGTACTACCCCGACCTCTCCTTTGGGCGCGTCGCGTGGCCGAGCAAGCAGACCATCCAGTGGCACCGTGCGGTCGTGCTGCTGCCACCAGAGAAGCTGCGCACCGTCGGCCTGCTGCCAATGCTCGCCAACATCTCCGACACGCAGATTGAGAAGATGCGCGAGTACATTTCGCGCGTGGTGCGGCCGCACGTGCTCTTCGACTACCGCGGCCGCCAGCCCGACGCCTTCTCCGCCTTTTTGGACGAGCTGCTCTTCCTAGCAAAGGAGCGGCTGCCGCCGTTGGATAAAAAGTAGAGTGCTGTGTGTGGTACGCCCGCGGGACCTGTTCCTTTTAAGAATATGATGTAACATACTTCCGGGCCGGTGTGCGGGGAGCGAACCTTAACGACCGCCCAGAAGCTTTCTGAGCGAACCAATCGGGCCAGGATCATCAGCATATGTCCCCTGCACAACATCGTGGGCGTTTGAGCGGTATTTGAGGAGCACCGCGACTCTGAAGTTCGGCCGGGTGGTCTGCAGACCCCCCCCCCGGAGCAGCAGAGGCTCCGTGGGGTCGAAAAGTCGACGCTGGGAGTCGCACTCGTCAAACCGTCGCAACACCACGCGGTCCGCACGTACCTCCCACATCCCCTCCACCGCTGAGAAGGCGCAGATCGACCGCCGGGCCGCGTAGTCGTCGTTAAGGAGCGGTTTTTGGAGCCGTACGAAGAGGTCCCAGACGGGCGAACATGCGGTTTTTCGACGACCACACGCGATGTGGTATCTGGTTTTTGCTAAAAACGGGCCGCCTAGTGCAGCATCACTAGTACAACACGCAACCACACTGAAAGCTCCACACTAGCCGGTATAGGCGAGCGCCGACGGCGTCACGGTCGCCGGAGTGGACGCACTGCACACACACTGTGACCGTGTCGTGGGTGTGACAGTGCGCGACACAACCGTCGGCGCCGCGCTATCGCGGCGCCCCGCAGTCTACACGCCTCAGGCACACCCCTGAACGCGCCATGGGCGCGCAGATACACCGCAGCGCCGTGGAGAATCCACACCTGGCCGGTCCCGAGCCCCGTCCTGGGCCTCCAGGCGGCCGAAGATCGGCGTTCGGGCGGGATGAACTTGTCGGAAATGGAGCAAACTTGGCGCGGCTCGTCGCTCGCGGTACCGGGTGAGCCTGGATAGGGCAAAATCTGGGGTGAATACGAGGGACAGAGGTCGCAAGTTTGTCGCGCAAGTTTGCGCGGCGTGGCGCTGCCCCGCTGCCGAGGGCGCCACCAACCCGTGGCGGCGGCATTTCCAGCCCAAATTGGGCGTTCCGTGCGCCTTGCCGGCGAGAGTGGACGGGCTGTGCATCGTGGGGGGGGGTGAGTGGGAGGGAGGTGGTCGTGTGCCTACTTTGTCGGCCGCGCGCGAGGAAAATACTGGGTGTGAGGCGCGCAGGAGGCGAGGGTGGGCGCGCCGGCGGTCGAGCCACCGAACAATTCGACGTGGCGCAGCTCCGCGCCGGCGGGGACGACCGAGCACATGATGTCGGCGGCGGTCACGCGACGAGGGAGAGCCGCAGGAGCCCTCTGTGGAGCAGGCGCGCGAAAGCAGCGATGAGTGGCGCTTCGTCAGCCACCTGTGGGCGGTCACCGGGGTGACGCCACGCCTCAGCGAGCTGGATCCGGGAAGGGCAAGGTGTCACGCGGGCCCTGTCTGCAGCAGCAGTGCTAACTAAAACGACAAAATTCCGGATGGACCGGAGACTGTCTACTCTTTCGGCGCACCGTCCTCGACCGCGCTGAAAAGCTGGCTGGTGGTCGCCGCAGCGCGTCGGCGCGACTCCAACTGGTTGGGCACTCGGCTGGGTCCATCAGCAAGAGGCCCGCCCCGTCGGGCGGCCCCGGGAGCGCATGATGCCCCTCCGAGAGGCGCTGACGCCCCGCCGAGATCGCGCTGGTTTGGCACGAAAAACACGAGGCGCCAAGGGGGGGGGTCAAGTATGTTACATCATAAGAAAGGAAGAAAGAAAACAGACAACCCAAGCGCCAAGGGGAGGGAGGAGGGGAGGACGGCACGCCGCCACCACACAGGGATTTTAAGGAGAGGAGTGTGGTGCTAGCCGTCGCCCACCCCAACCCTTGGTCGTCTGCCTCTTTCTATCTCCCTTTTACGCCAACATTTTTTCTTTATTTGCACGATTCACACGACAGACAAGGCGCAGACGACGGCAAAGAAAGAAAGAAAACAGACACCCCAAGGGAGGGATGGGAGAACGGCACGCCGCCACCACACAGGGATTTTAAGGCATAGCGGGTCAGCTCAAGCCCTAAAACGGCGGGAGGGGTAGGGCTATATCGATAGAGCTAGAGGGCTCAACCACCCCTCCACCCCTCCACCCTCCACCCCTCCACCCTCCCGGAGCGAGAGGGGTCCGTCCTCGAGCCCTCCCACTTCCACCCCTCCGACCGGAGGGCTCGCCAGCCCACAGGGCTGGAGGGGTCCCCGTCTGTGTGTGTGTGTGTGTGTGTGTGTGTGTGTGTGTGTGTGTGTGTGTGTGCTGTGTGTGTGTGTGTGTGTGTGCGTGTGTGTGCACACTACTCACTCACACTCACTCACGTCTCGCCTCGCAGTCACTTGGAGAACTTGGAGTGCGGTCACAACACGTTTTGCAGGAGCTGGTTGGACGGTGGATATTTTTTCTTTTTTCGCGTTTTTTTACGAAAGTACGTCCCACGCTGGTCCCGCCCCCCGGCGGCCTTGTTAGTTGCCTGTCCTGTCCTGCGGAGCTCAAGCAGCCCTGTCCCGCGGCGGCGCTGTACATACACGATGACGCTCGCCGACGAAATCGAGCGCAGCGGCGCGTTCCGCGATGTGATCCGCGCGTCCAACCGGCAAGAGTCGGAAATCGCCAGGCTGCGGGATGCTTTTGCGGCCAAATCGAACCGAGGTGAGCGCAAGCTCAAGCTCTACCACGGCACGTCGCTGGAGGCGGCGCTGCGCATCGAGAGCCAGGGCTTCCAGGCGTCAGCGACAGGCTGCCTCGGCCCCGGCGTCTACTTGGCGCGCGCGGACAAGGCTCTCCGCTTTGCGCAGGAGGGCGGCCGGCACGGCGGCGCGGAGGGCGGCCTCGTCGAGGTCCTCGTGCGCTTCAAGAACCCAAAGTTTGTTGCCGCCGATGACGACACTTGGCAGGCCGAGGGCTACGACGCGTGCCGGGCCGAGGAGACCTCCGCCTCGCAGAATATGGAATGGTGTGTCCTCCACCCCTCCCAGTGCCACGTCGTGCGCGTGCAGCCCGTCCCGCTGGTTGGCGGCAGCGCGCGCGTCAACGCTGTGTCGGAGGGCTCTTCCTTTGAGCTGGTGGAGGAGGCGCTCGGCGACCTCTCCCTAGACAGCGCCTCTGCCTCTGATGCGGCCTCCGAAATCTCAGACAACTACTCCGCGCCGACCCACGCCAACTTGCGCGCGCTCGCGCAGTCCGAGCAGCCAGAAGCGGTGAGGCGGATGTTTGTCTGCCCAGAGCACGGCTTCTTTTGGAAGAAGGTGGCGCCCAAGCGCAACGGACTCTGCGTCGCTCGTTGCAGGCGTTGCCCGGTGGTGAACGGCGTCGGCACCCGCTACATTGCAATCCCAGCGGCGGAGGAGCGCGGCAAGGGGCTCTTCGAGTGCGGTGACTGCGGCAACGTGTGGACCTCCAACACCGCGTGCCGCTCGCTCAAGCAGTATTGCCATGCGGAGAATTGCAACGCTCGCGAGGAGATGCGCGGATTCCTGCCAAAGGAGATTCGCGCGCCAGAGCCCGCCTGGCTACGCGCTCGTCGCGCCCAGGCCCGCTCGCGCAACATCCCAAGCATCGACGAGGATCAGCCATTCGAAGCGGGCGGGGAACAGGGCGGGGCGGGCGGCTTCGAGGGCGGCGGCGGCCATGAGGGCGGCGGCGGCTATGACGGCGGCGGTGGTTACGATGACTGTGGCAGCTACAGCGGCGCTGGCCAGCTCTGGCCAGAGGGCGTGGCCGAGGCTGACGCCGGTCAGGGCACGCCGGGCGGCCCGACGCGTCGTGGGAGCACCCGGCGCAAGCACTGGTGCTTTGGGTGCGAATCTGGCGCATGCAGGGCGCCGCCGCCCCTCTCACTCAAGCACGAGAGCACCGGAAGCACGGCACCGACCCGCTCGACGCTCCGCACGTGGTCAACGGCAAACTCGCATGCACGTCTCGCGCGCGCGTGAACAGGGCAGGCCCCAAATGACGTGTGAGTGTTAGAGTTGTTTGGTATTGCTAAAAATCTCTCCCTCGCCTTTAAACAAAGAAAGAAAGAAAACAGACATGCATAGTGACTCATCTCTTCTGAGTGTAACACGGAACATGCAGTTCGAGTGCTCCCTCCGGCGCGCCCTCGCGCTCGCTCTACATGGCTAGCACAGGCGCCCGTTTGCAACACGGTGGCCTAACCTCTGCGTACAACAAGCGACAGTATTACGACTACTCACGACTAATGCAGATCGCGATACATGACCGTTATTGCACCAATGTCGACCGTGAAGCCACAGTTGAACATCGTTGCGGCTCCCTCGCAGCTGGACTTGCGTACCTTTCCTTCCATGCCGTGAGTCCCGGCAGCTGGCTTGCCCAAATCACTTTTCCTCTTCATGTTATTCAGTGTCTGGAACACCCTGGATTTGCGCTCATCGGACGAAAGATCGCGGTACGTAGCATACGCATCAGTGTCCGGATCCTCGATATATTTGAGCATGCATGAGGGCAACGAGTTTGGCTCGACGCGTCCCGCAGTGATGGTCTTCTTCTTCTCGTTTTCCTGGGTGGATCCCTCCTTGTAAGCAGGGTTGGCACGAACCGAATGGCCCCAATCCGAGAAGCGCAGCGATGAAAACTCGCATTGCCATGGCCCCATTCGGTCGTAGATAGTCAGCGTCCCGACCTCGCCATCGGGCACCATGTTAGCGTGCACCTTGCGCTTTTTTGCCGCACCGGGCGCAGGATTCTCAAAGCTCTCCTGTACCAGCTCCAGGTAGGCCTTGTTGTCGATGCTCTCACGGGCCGTGACGGCCCGGTCGGCCTCGTGTTGCGACCGTGATAGCCACTCCTGCCTTTCAGCGATCTTTGTCACCGACAAGCCGAACGCGCACTTCGGGAACTTGTAGACGGGCGCTCGCTTCGACGCGTCGTCGTCCCAGCCGTCGAACCGCCGCTCCTTGAGCATGTTCTGGTAGTAGAGGCGGCCAAGCTCTGGCGCCGTCATCAGCGAGTATCGCTGCTGCGCGTACTGGAACGCCTCGGCCCAGTCGACTTTTTCTAGTTGTACGCAGAGCCAGCCGTCGCCATCCTCACAGTCGGCTTTAAAGCCGCCCATCCCGTTGGCGCGGCGCCGTGACGGCTTGCGGAGTGCCTGACCAAGCTGCCTTTTGTCGAGGCTGACGTCCTTCAGCTTTTCGAATCGATCGTATACGTCCTCAATCTTCGACAGCTGAGGCCTGTCCTTGCCCTGGCGGGCCTTGGGCAGCGCGGGGCCCATGAAGCCGCCTGTGCGCATGTGCGCCACGATTGCATCTTTCATTGGGCGGCCGGGGTACTTCAATGGAAAGGATGAGCATTTGTCGTTGTCCATGTCATCCGTCGAGCAGCTGCCCTCGTCGCTACCCACGTCGCCACTTGCAAAGTATGCCATGGCGGCGGTCCCGGCGACGCCAGCCGCGGCAGCGCCGGTCTGGGCGGCCGTGGCGATGAGCGCGTTTCGGGCCGCCAGCTTCGTCGACTGCCGACCCTCGGTTGTGCTGCATCCCAAAGCGGCGACGTTGAACATGTACCACGGATGCGGCGAGCACGACCCGTTGAGTGGCGTTAAGACGCTGAGCGGCAACCGCGGCGTCACTTGCGGCGGGGGCGGGGGAAGCGAGACTTGCAACGACGGCGAGCTCGTCGTGCTCGTGGTGTTGTCCGGCTCCGCGCCGGCGCCGTCCGGTGCGGCGGCCACAGCAAACTTGGCGGGAGGGGGCGGCGGCGCGGCGGCGGCGGCGCCGAACGCCTCGATGTCGACGCTGCGAGAGCTGACGGCGGCGGCGC